GGCCTGCGGGCAGCATATGTCTCAGGGCACCCGGGCCCCGTCTGGCGCGCAGGACCGTGGGCCTGGCGGGAAGGAGGCTCGTCCCAGAGGAGTTGGGACTGGACCTAAGGCCAGCATCCAGAGGCGAGGACCCTGGAGCCTGCCCAGGGCTGAGATCCAATTTGATGCATCCCACGGATTTGGTAGAGTGGTGCAGGGGGCCCCTTAGGGTATCCTTTAGGAACCAGAACAGCCCTTCCTTTGGGAAAGTAGAGGTCTTGGTGAGGGCCACAGATCCAGCTGATTGGAGTCATTCTTTCCGCACCCTGGACCCAGCATTGTTGGTTGAGTCTGACTGCAAAAGTGTATACCTCAAAAAGGGACCGCTGAAGGTTTTCCACGGGGAGTGACGGACACTCGACCCCGGGAGCGTGCAATTTTCTCACACAGCCAGGAGGGCACTGGGTCATCTTTTCTAAAAAACTTGTTGAAGGCATTTATTTTCATTGCCCCAACGCGAACTTATCCCACCTGGATCCATTCTCTCATTCTTTCAACCCCTCACCCCCTCTTCTGAACTCTTTGGTCCCAGGGTTGGCCACAGAAACCCGACTGCTCCTTTCAGGACTCTCCCCATCACCGACCTCCTCCCTCTGCCCAAGGATCCGGGTTATCCGCCCCATTAATATATTAGCCAGGCATAACACAAAGGAAGCGCGTGTCGGCAGAAGGCCTTGTGATTCCAGGGAGAGGCCAGGAAACCTGGACAATGCCCTGCCCACTTCACTGCTCGCTGCAGACCCGGCCAGTGTATCTGCCTCTACCTGGAAAAAGCCAAGGAGGACATGGCGGGAGCGAGAGCTCATAGTTCATCCCAGCCTCTATGGGCTTGGAGGCGGGAGGCTCAAAGCTCCAAGGTGGAACCCCAAGCTAGACAAATGTTCCCCAAAAACGTTCCAGACACCTAGTTAGTGCAGAGAAAATCAGTGTTAGGGAGCACGGAAGACACAAGACATTTATTTCCTCCCTCCTGCGTAAAGGACTCTTAAAATTACATCTCTAAACGAAACAAACCTCCACAGAGATCCTTACAGTTTTCTCATTCAATTGACGTTTTAAAAATAACTCCTCAATGTCAGAGAAAGGGAAAGAAAGAAGAAAAAGAGGATCTCAGCCGAGGACGTGATTAGACAAGCAATAGGCTAACAAACTTCAGAGGAGCCGGGAAATAAGCCCAGCCTTTCAGTTTCTTTGATGGTTCCCTATTTCCAGTCAATGCTCTGGAGTGGAGGGGAGAATTTCCAGGTGGTTTCTCTTAGGTTCAGGGGCTTCTGCACTCCCCGCACCCCACCCCACCCCCGCTCCCAATGTGTAATCAATTCTTAAAAGGAGTGTGGGAAAGTAGAAGGCGACCCCAGGAGTAGAACTTTGAATCTTGTTTCCCTGGGTGTCTCTGGTCAGGTTCCGAGTCGAATTTCAACAGACTAGCATTCTCACCTGGATTCTAAAGTCCGAAACACAGCCCCTTCCTTCCCAGATTTTAAAGGCTGATACCCTGCCTCGAGATTCCAAGTCGACTGCAGTTTTAGCGCACTCCCAAGTATCCTGAGGTGGCATTTCTAAGCCTCCGCTCCCAGGGCTGCAGAGGGAAAGTGGACATTACTCTGTCGGTGTGTCTTAGATAGTGATTGGGGAGGTTAGGGAGAAGTTGGGGCAAGAAAGTCAGTAGGAGTGAATTCCCTTTTGGTTAGGTTTTAAATTGTTTGGGATAAAAATGTTTTACAGGTGACAACTGAACTTCTTAGGTATTCTCCAGTCCCACAATGCTTCCTAAAAGGGCTGGCGGAAAGGGGGCGGGGGCGAGGGTTGCAAACCCAGCTGTGCAAAGTTCAATGAATGGAGCTGGCTTGGGAGGGAAGAAGAGAAATACCAACGGAATCATTATGTCCCAAAGTTAACTATTTGGAAGGGACAGGAGACTTAAAGAAGTCTGTTGTGAAATGGATTTGGACACACTAAACACTAACCTTAGGTAGAAGTAAAGCTTGCTCCTGTGGCTACGTTTTAAAATGTCCTCTCTCTCTGCCGTGGATTGATTCTAAGGACGTCATGAGCTGAGCTCTGCTATTTTACCCTTACATTCTTAGTCTCCTGAGACTCTTTTGAGGTGTAATTACACTTTCAATTTGGGTAAATTTTATACCTAAATTTCAACATAATTTGATCACCTATTTAGGTCAGGTTGGCTTGTAATAATGTCTCCTTGCACTCAATTATCTCCAATCAGGGGGGCATTCTCCAACTGCATTAGGTTGCAAAATACATCCACAATTCAAGCAAATAGTTAATTTTCAAGACAATTTTTAAAAACTTTATTAAATACATACTACATAATTTAAGCAATTTTATTTTCAATGAGGTTTTCTTCTCTTGACATATTGAAGTGTCGCATTAAAATACATTATAGCTAAATGTTCTATGATATTACTGCTAAATCAACAGAAAACCAATTGATCTTGGGGAAAGGTTAATTAATTTGGGCTACAGGTCTCCTCCTTTCGTCAGCGATGAAAAGAATTTCTATTGATCACGGCAGGATTTTGTGTGTGTGTGTGTGAAGAAACTTAATAAGCATTTTCCTGGAACTGAGATCAATATTTTAAATGCCAAAACAACAGAATTTTATAATTTTATCATTCTTGGAATTCTCTCCTGTTGTGGCCCATTCAAAAAGGTTAAACTCGAGAAAAAAAAGTTTAACATTTTCAGTGAAATCCACCTTCTGAAAAAAGAAAACAGAAGTTAAGAACGTCACTAGCATATGCTATTTTCATCGCTTTTTATTTCCCATGCGTCTTTCTGCAGTGCGGGAGGCCTGGAAGGGACAACGGGAATTGAATTTTATCTTTCAGATTTGAAGGTGATCTCCGCCGATCTCACAGAAATCGGGGTTGAGCTGCCTTCTGCTTGGGAACGCTACGGAGTTGTGTGGCGTTCTATGCTGTGAATAGAACTTCCTTATCTAGCTTGGGCTCTTTTTTGTTTTATTTTTTCCAATCACTGTTTTAAAAGGTTTCAGAGCCGAGCTTCCAAACACAAGGTGAAAGTAATTATTGAGACTCCGCTCCCAGGCACGCACTGCACTCACTGCCCAAAGGCTTTTCTGTGTTACTGTTTACTCCGCGGCCTGCTGGATCCCACGGCCCCTGGAGCTTTCCACTTGGGTCAGTTGGAAGCTTTTTCCCTCCTCGCTGCCCCCGCTTCCGGCCCCTCCCCCATCCTGAGCAAAATTCCTAAAAAAAAAAAAAAAAGACACCTCTCAGCTCTGGGCGTTTACTGAGCCCTGTGCGTCCACTTTCTGGAGGATGAAGCATCGGTGAAGAAATCAGGGGCCCGGGGACTAAAACGGGGTGGGGGCGGAGGATGCTGGGGGTCACTCGCAGGCGGCGCTCTCGGGAGGGTCCCTGCGCGCCACTGGAAGCACAGATGTTTTCTTCCTGGCCCCGACGCGGCGCCCTGGTCGGGCGATCCGGCGTTTGTGTGTCGGGGTTTCCGAGGAAGGGATTACGCAGCGGGAGCGACTCGGCCAGGCAGGCCGCGGGGTGGGCTCGAGACCCGGCGCCCGGCCTCCTTTGTTGACTTTTAGGTCTGTGGCTCAACAGAAGATTTATTCGCTAGGAGGGGAAAATGCCCAAACAATGAAGAACTAACTGCATTTGTCACCTCGGGATGCTTGCGCGGTCCGCTCTGCCCCCTCTTCCCCAGCAACCATCTGTCCCGGGCCCCCAGCCTGCGTGCGTCTAGAGTCCCGAGGTGGCAGAGAGCAGAGACGCAGAACCCGGTGCGAAGCCCACGGGGCGGGAGCACAGCCCGCAGGCGCCCGGGAGTCAAGCCGGACTCCCGCTCTGGCTTCCAGCATCCCTCATCCCCCGTCCTTAGGGCGGCCTGGACCACAGGCACCTCTCCTCTGCAAACCCAGGAAACTTCACCAAGAGTCAAGGAGCAAGAACTAAGACCTACACAAACCTGGAGAAGAAAGGGACTGAACCCGAAGTTAGACTTTCGTTTCAGAGCGACATGAGCAAAGCAAAGGCCGAAGATCACGCTTTTGTATTACATAAGAGTTTGAATTTGCTGGCATTTATTTATCCGTTGTATGTGTAGCTGTTGAGATCGAAAGCTTTTTCGTCTTTGGGATGCTTGATGTCCTTTAGAGGATTTGGAATTAAGTTTTGAAATTACTCACGCCAGCAATTTCTCTTCCCTCCTTTCATTAGTCGCAGAGAGCAAAGCAGGGATTTCTGGATTGTTCTCAAGTGGCTACGTGGCACCCCTTCTCTCATCTGGGGAGGTAATTACGCGATAATTAAGCGACTGGCACGGCTCTTTTTATCTTGTCTGTAGTGTGGAGTGCTGTGATCACAGTACAGGCAGCCCAAGTTCAAGCCCTGGTGAAGATGGAGTTCACACACGAGGGCTCAGGCAGGCCAGCCCCTGCTTCGGCTTGTGCTGTTATTGTTGGTGTCAATCCGAACAAGCCTTACAAAGAAATAGGTGGACTGGAAAGTGAGCCTACTATCAAAGGAGATTAATGATTTTGTGATCTCAAGCAACTATGGGGTGTGAAGTTGCATTTCAAAGCTTCTTACAAGGCAAACAAGCCATCAGCTTTATGTTCTTAGAAACAATATTTTAAAAATATCTTCACAAAACACAAAACAGCAGCTACCCTGAAATACTCACAAAGCTTCCCCGGCAGGAATGAATGAATTAACTGCCCTCCTCCCCACTCTCCAAACCGACTATGATAGCTGAGTTTTGTTTCTCTGTTAAGGTCTGTGGTAGATAACTCAATTTTAGCAGCCATAGTTGCTATTTTATTCTTATTCAAATACTTCTTGGATTAGAAAAAATAGGGAAATGATCATTTAATTTCAAATCAGGAAAAAAAAAGACTAAAAAGAGACACAGAAGGCTTACACACACCCCTCCCCCACCAAAAAAAAACCCTCAAGTAAATATTACCGGTAATATTTTTTTTTTAATTCTCAGTTCTTGGAATAGTGTCAGGTTACCTACCTGCTTTAATTGAATTTCTTTTGCCACATTTTTCTAGTTACACATTGATTTAAGTTGTAACTGAAATCATTTTATTTTAATTATACCCGTTTTTCTTTGATATTAAATTTCAGAATTCAAAAATTATCCCATTCAGAAGACCTATTTTGTATTCTAATTAAAGATCTATTTTGGATTTCAAGTGAAAGAGAAAACCAGAAATTCTTTGTCGTTAACATGTGATTTATTTAAATTCCTTAACTGCAAATGATCAGGAACATATTCCACAGATTAAAATCTTGTATTATTTTTGTTATTGAAATCAAAATATCTTAATTACAAATCACATCGATAAAAATTAACATTTTAATTTGTCATTTTTAACCATCACTTAAAGCAATTTCGGCTGTAAAGAAAAGGAATAGACCATGCAATAAATTAACATTGAGAAGGCAAAGAGGAATAATAATGAAACCCGTTTGTCTAAAACTAACACCACGTCCAACTGTGGAAAGTGCATTAACACTGGATGAACCAAGAATAGGATGGCAATAACTAAAACGGCCACAATTGGGATTTTGGAACTCTGGACCAAATTTTGAAATGCATTTCTTACAACTTCTCTCTCCTCAAATGTAAGATACTTCCATTTCCCCCCGGGGTGGGGGCGTGGGGGCTTTAAACGTTATACATACACAAAAACTAATTTTATACATGTGACCTCAGAATGACATGACCATGATGGCTCTCAGCAAAGCAAGGAGCAGAATTAGGGAGGAAGGCAGTTCCTGAAGAACTGGATTTCCAGGGTAGGTGGGAAGAGAGGACAAGTGTGGAGAGGCATCCTTGTAACTCGGTCAGGCAATTTTTGAAAATGTAGCACGTCTATCACCTAGCAATACCTCTACGTGTTATGCAAAAGTGAACAAGGTCTTCATATCTGGGCGCGATATTAAGTCCATAGACATATATATGCATTTCGTTTAAAGACGTCCGCTATGTAAATGCATCCAAAATGTAAACTGAAAACAAATGGCTCTGATGTACTAACCGGTTTATACCCTTCCTGCGTAATGGCAGCACGACCTTTCAATACTCTCAAGAGCCTCTACTGTCCACTTGTTTTCGTTACCATTTCCATCTTTACTGAGTTAAGAGTATTGCCACAGACCTGTAAACTCGCGTGGTGGGCCTAAGTAAGGAGGAGCAACAACAACAAAAAAAGCACGAACAAATATTTTACAAACTTGACCAACTTCTTTTTAAATAAGCCCTGCACAGACTAGAATGTGTCCACAGGGGAAGGAGTGAAGGGAAGGGGAGGACGATTTTCTATATATACATTTCTGGATCGTTAAACGTTGCCGGAAAAAATTGTTGGTATGGAGTCGGTAGTATTTGTAGTAATACACACAATGAGTGTTGAATACAATAATAAAGTAACAGTCCTTTGAACTGGGGAAAATTGTGCATGAAAAATAAAACTATTTGAAATTTTATTATGTGGTTGGTTCGGGGTGTGTGTATCTCTGTGTGTGTGTGTGTCTGTGTGTGGTTTTGTTTGTTTGCTGTTGGTTTTTTCTCTCCCGCTACCAGGTTGGCCATATGTAGACAAACTCTCAGTTCTGGGAGCTAGGAAGTATTTAGCACAGGTCTGGAATACACACCTTGGTAGTAGGCCGGCTCCAGGGCTGAGGGCTCGATGGGGCTCCTCGTGGCCACTGAGGCGGTGCCGAGGGGCAGACTGGCGGGCAAGGTAGCGCCATAAGGAGAGTACTGCAGTGCCTGCTCATATGCCTTGAAGTCCAGCTTGTGCTGCTGCTCAGAGGAGGACATGAGGTTGTTGATGGAGAAGGGGTGGTTAAAGGAGTAGTGGGGGTCCCCTTTCAGGTGCAGCTGAGATTCGTGGGGTGCCAGGCCGTGCGCAGGGTGAGAGGGGGGTACAGATGCCAGCGCCCCTGGCCCAGAGCTTATGGGGGGCGCAGATGAAGACGCTGGGGACTTCAACTCCGAAGCGCCCCCTGTCGCCGTGGCCCCACTGTGGTCCAGAGTCTGGGGGCTGGCGGCGGGCCCGGGGGCCGGCGCGCCCTCTAGCTGGCTAGCCTTTCCGTGCACACCCCGGTGAAGGGGTGACTCGGTGCTGGGGTTACCCGGACCTGAGGGGTCCTTGCGGCTTTCTGGGACCCCCTTGGAGCCGCCGCCCCCGCTCCCACCTCCGGCCCCCGGCTGCTTCTCACACTTGAAGCGCTTTTGACGGCGCAAGTAGCAGCCGTTCTCGAACATGTTGCCGGAGTCCGGGTGCAGCGTCCAGTAGGAGCCCTTGCCCGGCTTGTCCGGGGATCGCGCCACCTTGACGAAACAATCGTTGAAAGACAGCGAGTGGCGAATGGAGTTCTGCCAGCGCTGCTGGTTCTGGCGGTAATAGGGGAAGAGGTCCATGATCCACTGGTAGATCTCGCTCAGTGTGAGCATCTTGCTGGGCGCCTGCTGGATGGCCATGGTGATGAGCGAGATGTAGGAGTAGGGAGGCTTGGCGTGAGGGTAGCTGCGCTTGAAAGTCTTGGCGTCGCCGCCGCCCCCCGCACGACTGCGGCCCAGGTTGGACGGCGCGTACGCCATGGGGCTCATGCACGGGTTCATGGCGGCAGCGTAGGGACCCAGGCCGTTCATGGAGGCCGCGGGCTGCGCTCCCATGGAGCCCATGCCTCCCGGGCTCAGCGCCGCACCCATGGCAGTGACGCCCGCCGCAGTCATGCTGTTCATAGCTCCTGCAGAGCCTCCGGGCATGCCGGCCACAGCACCGGGACTTAGGCCGGCCCCTAAGCCCGGGTTGGCGTAGGACATGTTGAAGGAAGCCGGGGTCATGTTGCCGCTCGTGGTCATGGTATTCATGGTCATGTAGGTGTTCATGGAGTTCATGGAGCCCAGGCCGGAGTTCATGTTGCTGACCGGGACAGAGGAGTAGGCCTGGAGCGGAGACAGCGAGGGAAGAGGCCCCGAAGGGCGGGGTTAGTAGTGTGCTCCAGAGTTTGGCTGGCCAAGGGTGAGCCCGGGGCAAGCTAACAGCGTTTCTGCAAAACTCCGGAACTCCCCAGCCAGGACAAAGTGTTAGGTGCCCTTCCCTGACCACGCAAAGATGGCTTACACTGCAGGGGGGCAAATCCTAGCGCTGCAAGCAGGAAAGATTAATGCTCACAGAAAATATGTCCCCGGGAAGATGCATAATCGCCTTACAAGCCTGGATCAGGGGCTGGCTTCTAAGCAAGTCCCTTCATTTCATCCACGACAGACGATATCCAAGTATCCACACCAGACCAGCCTAGATAATTTGCCTTTTGGCCAGGGCAATTTTGAAATTCCGGAAATAGAATTTATGTCTGAGCACCTATTTCTTCACTTCACCCCAGCGGGGATGTAGGTTCCACACAGGCCTGCTTGGGTGATCAACGAGGCACCAGCTAGGCGCCCATCCTGCGGAGGGCTGGCGGCACTGCTGATCGAACAGCGGGATGCACCGTGCTGGCAGCTGTTAAACTCCTACCCATATTGGCCTATTTGCCAATATGATCCCCCCCCTCCCAATTACTCATCTCCCAGTAACTGGCTTTGTCTTAAGAGTTGATGCCAAAAGATGACTTTCTGTTATTATATTTAGAAGTAATGCTTTCCATCTACTTGTAACAAGGATAGTATTTTAAAAGAAGCAAACTTATCAGTTAAATAAAGTTCTAGAAAAAATAAAATGAAAAAGTGAGATGCACACCAGAACAGCTCGGCGTATATAATTAACTTTAGCGTGACTTTACATGTACCGCTCTTCACGCTATACAAAACCTTGCATTAATTCTGTTACCTGTCTGTAGCCCTCTGGCAACTGAAAACTTTGGTAACACAATTTACACACACACACACACACACACACACACACACACACACACACACACACACACCCTGTAACTGATAGTTGCTGATGCTCACATCAAAGCCTGTGCTTTGAAGCTACATGAGTTGTTCAGAACAATTTAAAATTCCCAAGCGAAACTCCACTTACTTTCTCTTAATGCTATTCTGCTTTCTAATTCTCAGCTTTGAGATGTAAGAAAGCTCTTTCCATAGGGGTCTTCTCTGGTGGCCCGAGGTGACTGCATCAAAATTAAACCCCCGGAAAGTGGTCTGAGCTCCTACCAAAAATCACCAGCAAGCGGAATCTCCATCAATTGTAATCGAGAAAACAACTAGGTGGTTAAAAAATACAGAGTCCTGACATATAACTGCTTATCCGGTCATCTAACAGACAATATTGAGGTCCTTAAATTTTGGTCATCAGCAAATGTAACTCCGTTTGAAAACATAAGAGATGGATAGATTTCAAAAAGAAGACTCAGAAAGGTATGGTTCCCAAAGAAACACAGAAACGAATAAATAAATCGCCATGAAGGTCTTTTCGGATTCTGTACTTTTCTGTATAGATCTTAAAGTACTTCGGGATTTATTTCTATCCCTCTCTCCAAGATCGCACGAGGCTTTCTCAGCGCTTTCGATAACGGTAATTACACTTTTGAAGGTAATCGGCAGCTGTTTCTAGAAAAGTACTTTTAATAGGTAGTGGCCCTGCCTGTACCTGAGTTTCCTCGCAATGCTTTTGTGCACAATGTAAAATAAACCCAGTGAACATGCCACCAAGGGGACAATGAAGAGAAACAGGTTCTTGGCCCCGAGTTCTGGAAAAACATTCTGTTCGCACTAGCGCCACCCCGCGGTCCTAGAGACGAACGACTATACACTTCTCTACAAACGGCTTTTGAAGAATAAGTTTTATAAAATTTAGAAATCAACTCATTCCGGAAAAACTCCAACTTCTGCGGCAGATCATTTTTATCCAAAGATGTCAGCTAATTAAGTGGCGTGACCGAGAGGTCGCCCCGTAAGCAGGCACCAACTCTCTTAGTTGCTTCTAACTCAAACCAGAGCCCGCCGGCCAACCCGTGGCTCCCGGGGCCGGGCTCCGGCTCCCGCTCTCTACCGGGCCAAAGACAAGTGCTTCCCGGAGCCCGGGTTTTCAAAGCCCAGAGTTTCCTAAAACTCTCCGCCCGTTGCAAGCGCCACGACCCAGCGGGCAGCGGGCTGGCAGAGAGGCCGGGTGGGGGCCACACTGGGAGCCGCGCCTCGGGCGAGCCGCCCCCACCCCGCCCGCCCCAGTCCCGGCAGGAGCCCACCTCGCCCGGGTCTCCGCGGACACCGACTCTGGGGACGCCCCGCCGCCTCCCCGCCTCTCACCTCCTGCGTGTCCGCGTAGTAGCTGTTCCAGTCGTTGCTCTCATGCCCTTCCATCTTCACAGTCCCTAACATCCTGGAGCCACCCGGGCCGACACAACCATCCAACCCCGTGCGGAGCGACGGGCGGGTGCGCTGCTCGGGGCGGGGGAGGGGCGCGGAGCCGCCGCAGTCACCGGAGCGCTCGAGGGCCCAGCGCCACCCGGGCGAGGAGGAAGCCGGGTGCTGCGGGGCGCGGCGTGCGCGGCGGCGGTGGCGGCGGCGCGGCGGGAGGGGACAGCGCCGGGGACAGGAGGCGGCCGCGGAGCGCGGCGCCGGGCAGCGCCTCCGCGGGAAGTGAGCGGGCGGCCTGTGCGAAGCGAGTGCAGTTGAGCTGATGTGGAGCTTACGTCGCCGGAGTGCCCACCTCCTCGTCCTCTCCCCATTTGTCCGCCGCACAAAGACGCTCGCACCTACAAAGCCCGAGGTGCACCTGTGAGGCGGCCGCCCGCCCGCCAGTCCGGCCGCCGCGCCTCCCGCCCCGCCGCGCCAGCGCCGCGCGCCCCCCCCCCCCCTCCCGCCGTCCCCCTCCCCCAAACCTGGCCCTCACTCTGTTTACAAAGCAGTGTAATTGGTTTAAGCCTCGCGGCTAGGGAAAGAGGAAAATGGGGCGGGTGTGTGTGTGTGTGTGTTACCCCCCCTTTGGAAAAGGAAAAAAAAAAGAAAGAAAAAAAACGAAAAAAGAAAAAGAAAAATAGGCGGTGCCTGGAGAACAGGCCAGGGCTCTAGACCCGAGCTGTGCAGCCGGAGAAGGACCGGGGTGGTGGAGTCAGAGCCCCGGCGCAAGGATCGTGCTCCCTGAATGACCCCGAGTTCTCTCCTAGAGGTGCTCACCACCCTCTGGATCTGACTACGACTTGGCTCTTGGTCCCCTCGGCTCCTCTGCTACCCCCATCCCGATTCTTGACCCAAAGTTCAACCCTGGGAGACCATCCCCACTTCCCGGGCTTCGGGCTTGGAAAGGGGAAAAGCCCCACTTTTGCCTCGTCACTAGAAACCCAGCCATCTGAGTCAGCCGAGCAGAGTGACATTAGGCCGACCTGGGCTCCTGGCTAGCAGAACGGAGGCGCTGCCACGAAACTCGTACCTGCGGCTAAGAGCAGGTGAGTCACGGCACCGTTTTATATTTTTATGACATAACTTTTTTTTTCCGCCTCAGTCCACTCCACTCCCCTTGTCATCTGCAGCGATCAGAAAGAGGAAGAAACTGAGCGCAGATGTTTCTGTGATAAGGCAGGCGGATCCTAGTCAAGCCTGCCTCTCTCTGCCGGGCTCCTCCTCCTCCCCCCCTTCGGCAGCCTCCGGGACCGAGCTGGAGGCGACCGTCTGGTTTCTGATAGAGAAAGGTCAGGGGGAGGGGACATCTCCCTAAACGCCGGCATAAACTGGGAGTGTATGGGCCTGGGTGCTGGAACGCATCTGCCAACCTAAACGAGGAGCCAGCCTGAAGCGAGACTCAGTCCATAGTAGTGCCTGGTAGTCTCTAAGCTGGAAAAGCCGGCTAGGGTATATCAAAAGGTTCTGAGTGACTGTGGAAAATTCTCCTCCACTCAAAGTCTCTCGCTTCCTTCCAGTTCTTCCCAGGTAGTGGCTCGCCCTCGTATCCAGCGGAAAGAGACTAACCATAGAGATTAGGCTACAGTTTGTGATAGGTTTGGAGCAGGTGCCTACCTCCAAGTGACTACTAGTGTTTGTGAACATGTATAATACCCTGTGCGTTTCGAAGTAAATGTGATTGTGTGGCCCTCCCTGTGAGTGCTGCTCCAGCCTGTAGGTGTGCTAGATTTTCTTTAGAAGCAATAAAATAAACGTTAAAGTCACCAAGAGACTAAAATATTCTTGTTTTGCAAAGCTTTTTATAAAAAAGGTAATTAATCTCATTTGAAGGAATGTGTTTTTACTTGTCTTCCAAATAGATACCCCCCACTCCACCCCGTGCTTTGTTCTTTTAAATCTTTCTTCCTTGAAATCTGGCAAGAGAATCAGGTTAAATCCTTGAACCAAATAAATCTCTTAGATCAGCAGGAGAGCAGAGAAGGTGAAGATGTGTAGTTAAGGAAATAAAAAAGATAAAAGCATTGGATTACAATTCCTTTTTGAACAGAAAGTGTGTGTGTGCGTGTGCGTGTGCGTGCGTGTGTGTGTGTGTGTACATCACATTATAAGCAAAGGAATGAGAGTGAAATTAAATCCTCCTGGAACACAACAGAGCAGACAGCCCTCCCCAACTGCAATTTGCCCCTGTGACTAGAAGTCACTCCCATCGGCTGTGTAAATGTACCTGTGGATATATGTCAGAAATGAATTCTTTTTTGCAAAGTTCCCACCTACAGCAGGATCTCCGTTTCATTTGTAAAGCACAGGGATGCTTAGCTTCCTCAGTCTGGCCCTGGGGACTTCCAGGGCTAAGAAGCTTCCTTGTTCATTCGTGGCTGCTTCTCTGATGCCCTCTTGGCTTTTCTACAGCAGCTAGCAGGACTTGGACGTTTCCTGTGGGTAGTAACAACTTAGTAATGGCTATATATAGTGTATAACAAGTTGATGACTTTTGGGGGGGCCCTGTCACCTGGAAGGAGTTAATTAAAATATCACATGTCCTTTCTGCCCGTTTTCCAAGTCTACTTTGCCCCCTTTTCAAATCTACTTAAAAGGCGAAGGGGGCCATTTGTAGCGTGAGACCACATTGAAGTTTCTCTAAAGCATCGCCCAAATCCGAGAGTGGTGGAACAGAATGGGCTCTGCTCGCTTTAAAGCCTTGATCCCGGTGTTCTTGGGTTTGCGGCCCAACAACACAGCGCCTCCTGTATGTACATTCCCGCAACACCGCCGGGCTAAACTGGATTGAACCAAGGAAGGCGCTAGGCAGTCAGCTGGGGGATTTGATTCTGAGTTGACTGAAGCCACGAAGAAGGAAAAGCAGTACTTCTGTTACTTCTCTGCATTTAGTGAAGGCTTTTGTGGACACCTAACAAATTCAGTTGGTGAAGTTGTTTAAGTGTACCAAGAGGCCAGTTTCCCCCAGGTTTAAAAGTGAAACAGTGGGGTCACTTCTAAGTCTTTGATTTGACACTCCTCCCCACCTCCCGTGACGTTGGGGTGGGGGTAGAGGGTGAGCGAAGGGCTATTGCCTCCACTTTCTGGCTAGTTGGTACTCAGATAAGGAGTTTAAGCATCCTAAACCTGGTACGCGTCTAGCATTTTTCCACCAGTAGGCCCCAGAGTAAAACAGGGCAATTAAACCTGCCTTCAGCTCTGGGGAAAGGGGTTGGGGGGGGGCGGCACTGGGGGGACTGAGAGAACGCTAGAGAAGGGAGCCACATGGTCTCTTCTGCGATGCCCAGGCCGAACTTGCCAGGGTCAGGATAGTCAGCCACAGCCTAGGGCGCTTCAGGTAGCCTAAAGCCTAAAGTCGAGGAAGCCAGGGCAGTCGGGAAAGTGGGCTGCGCTGGTATTCGAGTCGGTTTCAACAGAGGAAGAGGCTCTGTCATTCCCAGAAGCTGATCTAGCTATGGCCTTAGGATTAGCTCAATGCTCCACCGGTAGACGGTCTGACTCGTCTGCCTTAGCCTACCCTTCCCAGAGTGACCTGGGAATCCCGCAGGTAATCACGGGACAGAAGGACACGGAAGACGTGGCATGAAAGGGGGATAAAAGGCCAGAGGATCCTGAGACCAGCTGGTGCCTCTTCTGATGCTAGTGACCTTCGCTGTGTAGCTGAACTGAGACACGGACAGGGAGTAGGACTTCGAGCCTGGACCGCCCCTGTAGCGGCCGCTGGAGTCTCTAGAGAGCTCCCTCCCTGGATCTCCCTAGTTTGCCTGCCCCCTTTCCTCACTGACTCTACCTCCCATCTCAGGGCTGTGGCCAGGTCAAGGCCGCTGTAGCCCCAGTCATGCTCGGTTCCGGGTGGTCCGAGTTCCTCTGCTGGGGCCCCACCCCCTCACCAGATAAGAAGCTTAAGTCCTCCTCCTGAGGGGGGAATTAGACTCAACTAAGACCTGTGGTCTTTAACTGGGTTCAAAGCCAGCTCAGACTGAGACCAGCTTAAGGCTGCACCCAGAGGGCCGCGCTGGAAGCATCCCTTGCACTTGCTGTGCGGCGCCCTGAGGGTTCGAGGTGCGCAAGTCTGGGGAGGTAGCTCGGGTGTCTGCCCAGGGTGCAGCCAGCGCTCTGGTCACCCGTGTCCCAGCGGCCCTAACCAGCAGGCGCCACTACTACCCAAACCAGCCTGATACCAACTCAGGGCAAGCGTTCGGGTTCCTGCTCTTACGCTGCTCCTCTTTTTCCTTTCTGTTCTCACACGATTCTTTTACTCTTTCTTCTGCTATTAAATCTTCATTAAGAAATCGGTTCACCGCCTGCAAGAAGTTCAGTCTCCAGTAGGTGAGAGCCCTGGAGCCACCCGATAGGCCAAATCATCTACTATTCTGGGCCCGCACACCTGTTCAGGTGTGCCTTTGCGCCACACATATGCACATTCAGAGCTTTTGGTTATTTGGTTAAAAACGAACAAAAACAGGCATTGAGTTTGCCGTTTTCTCGTTCCTTGAGTTGCCGCCAGGTTTCAGAAAGTCCCGGGAGGCCGTGATCCAGGCTCGTCCGCAGCCGGATGTCTAAGCCGGAGCTGCTCCCCACCTGGCCTCACCCTGCGGGCGACAAAACCGTCAGTCTGGCCGTGAGAGAGCGTCACCTTGCCAAGATCAACTCACATTTTCATGTATTCAAATGAGAAAGGTTGGGAAGAACTACTTGCCTCTCTGGGCAATTCACAGCATTGGAAGGAAAAATTAAGCCTCCCATCTTCCCTGGAGAAAAATAATGCCTCCATCCCTCCAGGAGCGCACACCAGTCCTCTCCTGCACCTCCCCACCCCCGGGGCGGCATCTGGATCCCCACAGTCCTCTTGAGATGCTCTTCCTGAAAGTTAGCTACTACTTCCATCAGCTGAGCTAGTTGGAAGATTTACTCAGTCAGCCCCTCTTTCCTAAGCTAGCCCCTCAAGAGCGGGGATAGGTGGGAAACATCGGCCTTAGTATTCCTCTAATTAAAACACAAGAGGGTTCTGTAGCAAGATGGAAAAAGATCGTTTCACGTAAAGAGATGGAAAATAAAGTTTTTGTTTTTTTTTCCGAAATAGTAAAAGGGCCAAGGTGGTAGTCTGTGTGCCACAGACTGAACGGAGGGCTTTGAGATCCCTTTGAGAGAGGGCGTTTTCCACCTGCTGCCCAAGTGTTTGGTCGGGACTTGACCCTTCAAGGGACAACAGTCCAGTCCACGCTAAGGGGTATCAGCCACGGAAGCTGAGGTCTCCCGAAAAGTCAACGAATTTCACCTTTTCCATCGAGGGTTGCAGCTTAAATGTAATCCTTCCCTAAGGGCAGAAAGTAGCCCAGTCTTTAGCTTCCTC